AGATGCAGATGACTTTCAAAGAAATGGTCCGTCGTTTGCTCATAGAGTTCCATGAATTAATTATGGGGGGGGGGGGGCAGGTTTCGCATCTCTCATCACGGCATTTGTTACTGAATCTTTTATCTCACGGTCTTGACGCTTTATCTTGCTTTATCTTGCGACCTCTCTTTAGCGAGAAGCTAATTCGTTATTTAAACTTTGCGGTAAGTCTATCGGTGTGACTTGGGCGACTAGTGCGGTAATCTATAATACTAAAATTGACTGACCTGACAATATGCTTGTGTCTTTCGACCCAGTACTTGATGGCACTCCTGACGAGCATCTCTTGCTTCTTCGTTAATCCGTTCGGTCCTACGCCACCGTTGAAAGTCATACCAGCGGTCGGCCGGAAAGTCGCCGTGAAGTCTTGTCGATTGCTGTATATGTTACGAAGATCGAGATCCAGCATGTTGTCGCCCTGGGCTGCTGCCGAGGGTGGTGGCGGCTGATTGTTCTCATTCGATTCACGAAGATGATCCGCACTGCCAGCCTGTATATACAAAAAAAACTTATTGATACGTAAAGTAGGAAAATTTGAATTATGTGCAGAAATGTTTTTAGCTTTTATATCTTTGCGTTGTTTATTTTAATAATAGACTTTGAATAACAGAAATTGATCTCACGTTAACGTTAATGTTTTTGAAGACTCACTTAATTTTAATCAATATAATACAAGAAAATCCTATTTTCATTTTAAGACAAAAATGAAATTTTCTTTTTATATAATTTCTTTAAAAAAATTAATTTAAAAAAATGCAAAATGGATCTAGATTTAATCGTAGGAAATAAAATTTATATGATCGATATATCTATGGAGATTGAAATTTGACAGACCTTGAAGAGCTCACTGCTATTCGGTACCACCGTGTCCAAAGTTGCGCTCAACTCCATGAGTGGTTTCATAATCTGTTTCAGGTGCTGCAACTGTTCGCAGGCAAACAGTAACCACGAGCAGAAAAGCACATCCAACGAATTGGCATTGACAAGCATAAAGAACACCCAATAGAATTGGTATATGAGCATCAATATATGCGTTACTCCCCTTCTGGCATCGAACGGATAGAACGAACGGACCAACAGTTGTGGCAACTAAATTATAAGAAGAAATTTCTCATGTACACATGTATAAAATAAAAAAGTACTCGAGTAATTTTATCACACAATAAACGCAATGCATGTATATATCGTAGTTACAAAATTAGATATTATAATTTAAATTATGATTATATTTAATTCTGACTCTATTATTTTAATTAATACGCTTTTTATTAATAATAAAAAGCGGTATCTAATCTCGCTTTTTTAAATATAATATATGTATTAAATATAAAGATAATTAAAATAATTTTGTTCTGTATTTTGAAATATGTTTTGTATTTTATAAAATTGAATTATTACCTCGATAATTGTTGTTTCATTCGTGATTGGATCCACGAGTTTCCTACTCGGATGTTCGAAGAAAGTAAGAGTGGTCCAAGCTACCGCGGCGAGCACGGTGGTGCCGCCGACCAAGAAGAGCAGCAGCCTCATCTTCTTCAGAGCGATTGCGTGGTATCTCGCATTGCTCTCGGCGAAGAGCGGATGGGAATTCGGATTATTCCATATCGCCCATGTTCTGTAAAAGTACTTGCTCCTGATAGCGAAGTAAACGAGCTTAACGATGCTGTGCGTGAAGAATAGGAGGGTGATCGTGTTGGCCGTGAGATCGTCGACGTCGGTGCTCTCGATGATCAGATTCACCGCGCACAGGCCGAATTGTAACAGCAGTAGAAATAGATTAATCTAGAAAAGATAGTTTTTGCGATGTGCGTGTACGATCTGGAGGATCTTCATTCATCGTAAACCAATATTAACGGTATCGATCGTTAAAATTATATACCATACACATTCAGCTATTTTGTCAAAATATTATTAAAATCAAACTGAAGAATGTCGATAACTTTGATTTGATCAGACGAAATTAAATTTTGTTATTGCAATTTGGCGAAAATACTATTTTACATTATTATACAATATGTTAGAAAATCATGATTACTTACACAGCAGAACACTTTATGCAAGTATTTGGACGAATTGTCATCGTAATAGTTGAATACGAAATGCCCAAACATTTTCATGACCCTTATGTTGGGCATGAGATCGGCCACTAGGCCCTGTTGCTTCATCTTCATCATCTGCGAGCAAATTGCACGAGCTGACCATTTTTGTTATAAGACTATCGAACGCTCTATCTCGCGAAACTGTCGTTAAAATTCGTCAATAGCTTTAAAACTCGCTCGTACTGAGAAAAGAAATTGTTGATTTATGAAAATATTAATTGATTTTTAAATAAATGCCACGGGCTGTCAAGCAAATATTTGTTAATTCAAACGAATAACATGTTTTAAATTACAAGATTTTATTGACATGAATCACATATATTTAACATAATATATAGCTTTTTAGGGCAGTTGGTTTTGATTCGCGCACGACCTGCATTATTTGTCACACGCATAAAGTTATGTAAATAAAGCTTCTAGAAACTTCTGTAACTCTTCTTTTGCGTACAACATATTACGCCGGTTACGCGTTTTACGCAATACAAATCACGATGTAAATTACAAATTTTAAACTTTGATAAGACTTGTTTTATCGGTAGTCTTTATATTCTTCTCTAACTCGTCGCCGAACAAGACTCGAACAGAAGCTGTTCGAATCTGTTTAACATTTTTCAGATACTTTTTTGAACTTTCGCGTTTGTCTCTTGTTCAGAAAGCACCTGTTTTGAAATAAGAACGAAGGTCTACCTTGGTCGCTTTTAATTATCCAAGATTACAGATGTCCAGAATAAGCGAAGAATTGGTCGGAGCTCCGCGGCCAACTTATGATGCGGCCTTCAGAGCCTCGCGGTTACGTTGCAGCAATCTTGCCAAGTATATCAGAAGAACGAAGAAGAGCAAACTAACTAGTCGGCCTGCCATCAGTCGTCGTTTTGTGGCACAAACGGTTTTACGTCGCGAAAGGTCTCGTCTTTCCGGCCGAGGCCCAGGTTACCCTCTACTTCTGTCTTTTCGTTCAATCCCCCGGGTATGACCTGATCGCTACCACTACCCCGTCGGTGAGAAATCCCTTCCAGTAGGGTAGGTACTAAACGTGGACCAATCGGGGCTCGGTAACCAGGCGCAAACCGCTTCGTCGCGTTGCGCGACGTTCCTCCGACGCCATATCGCTTCTTACGCCGTCCCCGAGTTGCACGGAATCTATAATCTTCTTAATAATTCAGTACACCACCACCGTGCTCCGCTGTAGTTTTCAACGTAAGGAAAGTTTTACCGAAGAAAACGGTCTAAAGTTTCAAGATGCCTAGAACAGGGGTTAGCAACTGGTGAAACGAAGCTTCCGCTAAGATCGCGGAATATCAGCGCGTGTAATGTCGATTTTTCTAGAACACTTTGCGAGTGGTAGATGACCCTTATTACGATTCTTTTTGCTAATGCTAGTGATTAATAGTTGGAAGATAATGCCTCTTGTGTCTTCGTTTCACGTTGTATTGATGTCAAATAAAAAGTTTTGCTTGTGCATTATACCTACAAATTATTTATCTATCCTTTTTATCATACAAAATTCCACGTTTGTTATGAAAATTTTTACAAATTAGTATATTGTATCTTTACGTGTACAAATTTTATATATTTTAAGGATAAAATTAATGAATCTATCACGAATCAATCTATTTATAGTGTTTTTTTTTTTTTTTTTTTTTCAAATATTAATAGTATACTAAATTATCATTGAAGCATAATTTTAATTTGACAGATTTTGGATGGAGCTAATTTTCTCGGTAAATTTTGTGGACAATCATTCTCTTTTAACACGTAGAATCTATGTTGAAAAATGTAAATTTTCAGAAATGAGATGCAATTTGCCAGAATTAGAGTCGATGAAAATAAATGATTCGTACGTAAAGTACGAGCTCATACGACACGAATGACGTAAAACAAATAGTACATAAATTAGACAACGGGCGTAGTTTATGCTCGAATGTGACCTATGTAAGTCTCAACGGTTAAATATGTCACATATCGACTTAAAACGAGGGCCGCGTCATAAACTTACATGGATAGTACATAGTAATGAATCCTTCATTATTTAGGGCGACAGTCTTTCGATATTACGACCGGTGCGATGGTCGGTTAATGATACTTTGTACTGATACCACGGATAAGTCAAAATTAGGTCAGCGTTGAAGAAGTTATATCGATGGCACTTAAGTATTTTAATCTTTTATTTAAAAAGCGAAGGTTCTTTCCTCATACAACAGTCCTCGTTCAGATTCCCATTTGAGTGCCATTCAAATGTCATTTTGTCCTTATTGTTCACCGAATGTTATAAACAAGGATAACATAATACCTGGGGAGTACTCAGATGGGAATTTGAATGCGCCTCAAGTCGTAATCACCCTAGCGATTGCGCGATTGTGATTAACGATTGAGGATTATTTCTCAACCAATCAGAGCAAAGCAGTCACCGACTACTTTGTTCCCATTGGTTGAGAAGTAATCCTCAATCGTCAATCGCATTCGCGCAATCGCTAGGGTGATTACGGCTTTAAAGGGACGTCCTGAAAGACGTTCACCGGACGTTCCTTATGTCCTTTGAACAAACTAAAGCCCGTGTCGGATAAAGCTGCTTTGTCTTGATTGGCTGAATTCCGATGCGCAATCCGCAATCTCAGTCCAATCCGCGTCCACAGTCTGTAGTATGACACGGGCTTAAGGACGTTCCCAGGACGTTTTTCGAATATGACTTATTTATGAGATTCTCCTTTGGTTGTTCAGGCAACCAATTTTGTTGATTAGCGACAGCGCAGCCTAATTGTTTTTTTTTTTTAGAAAGAAAACAAAACGGACGTAGCAATTATCGAGACTGATCATCTAGAATTAAATTTTTTTCGTCTATCTAAAAGGTCTCTAAAGAGTCTTCTTTCTATAAAGAATCATTTGCGAGTTGATTACAGGTGAGCGATGTATTATAAATATATGTGATGCGAGATAATCTAATTGCACCATAATGAAAAAACGTTTAAATTAATTTCGTTAGCGGAAACCGTCATGTCACGTTCCGGTATCTTCGTTCTGGTGCTGTGGTCACTGATGACGTGCTCCTACGGATTTACGATGGATCGTGCAGGTATCGCGTCAATCTTTGCTTTTATCTTCGCTTCGTTTAAATAGTCACATTTGTTACTGTAACTTACGACAAAGAAGTATAAACGTGCATTAATTATTTAAGTCAACTTATTCATAACCGATTCTTGTTTCAAGACAGTCTTAAGTAATGTCTTAAGATGCTAATATAATCTGTAATTTATGGAAATTTTAATATTGTATACTTTAAGACGTATGTCTTAATTATAAGAATTGACTATGAATACCAGTCTTAATTATATAAGAATTGACTATGAATACCAGTCATTGACTATGTTTACATCGTATAAACACCAATTAAATCCGATTTAAAAGTATTAGTTGTTATTTAACTAACGTTTGTATGAATAGCGCCGAGGCACTGTCATGTCTCCCAATATTTTACATTAGTAGTTAACTATTGCTGTTACTATAAACTGCGGATGTTATTAAATTATTAAACCCGATTAATAATGGCATGTAAATATAATCATTTATTTGGTTTCCTGCTTTCAGTATCATTCTTAAAGGCTCGCTATTTTAGATCACATTTTTACACGCATATCGTGACGTTTTTCCTTTTCCTCTGTTTTAAAAAATATACTATAATGCGTAAATTATTTAAATGCCCCTTTCTAAGAACGTTTATTATACATATTGACTAATAATAATGTATGTGACTAATAATGTCACACCTCAATAGTATTATTTGTGCCGCCTGCATGGGACACGGCACCGTCCTTGGACACTTATCGAAGAGTATTCGTCAATCCTGCAATGAAAAACCAGACGCAAGTAACTGATATGAATAGGACCTTGCAAACTGGAGATGCGAAAATGTCGGAGAATATGTTAGAAAACCAGACGCGCGAGAAGAAATCAACAACCAAGAAAGTCGAGATGAAACCTATCAATAAAACAGCATCAGCAATGAGGAACGACGCTTCTGATTCTTCTGAAGAAAACGCTAATGCTATTATTACTCCTCGAAATATCATTTTGCTCTTGATCGATGAGAGAGGTCGTGAGAAAAAGGACGGGAACTCGTGGAAAGATTATAAAGAAAGACTACCCTTCGCGATTGAAGGATTTCTTCAAGTACTTTTCCTATAATTACATTAATCATTTCTATATCGGATAATTTGATAGAAAATTGAACGTCGATGGAACAAATTTTTCTTTTATTATTTAACTCTCCTTTCTACAATCAATAATAAGTACAGAATAAATTCGCGTTCTTACGAAAAAATATATTTAAATATTTTGATTAAATATAACGTTACAAAATAACAGTTTGATAAAAATGTAACGATAAAAGAGTGGCGATTTTTTAAATATGTTAAATTTAGAAGAATTTATAAAATTCAGCTTTTACAATTTTATCTTGTATATACTATGTATGTACAATCCTTTTTAAACTTATTTACATTTGATAGTTTAAATTCGAGTTGTGTTAGATATAAAATTTATATTGTAGAATTGCCACAATAAGACCGAGAGCGCTAATTTCTCCATGGGCAACGCATCTACTTCTGAAAAGAAGGAAAAAGGTTGCAACTGCGAGCGTATACTTTCGAATATCGAACAACTGTTATTCTGGGCGAGACACACGAGAGGAATGACAACAGGTTTGAAAAAAAAAGTTTATTTAATTATTGAAAGAGAGTTTATGTATCGAAATCTCTAAAAATATTAATATGAGAGAATATTAAAAAATTATATATATAAATACATATGTTATTGCATTTATTTCATATTTTGATTACTAAATTTTATTCGATTTTATGGAACAGGTGCAGTTTCCGGTAGCAACTTTTCGGTTCCATTTTTTCCTAGATACGAGTTTAACTCCAATAAGAGTAATGCACAGTTAGAACTACGTAAAAGCAAACGCGATTCCAATGACGGTTGGCAAGTGATCGATCTTAGCGATCGGACGAGTTCTGTTTCACCTTTGATTACGGAAGAATCTAAGACAGAGGGTAAGTTAGAAGTAGACTAAAAACAATTGAAAACAAATATGTTACACGAATATTCTAATAAAAATGAAAAGACTTACAATAGATGTTCATTTAAGTTTAAGAAGAATAGGGTAAGTATATAAATGTGGTAGTAAAATAAATGTCAAGAATAAAGTATAAAATTCGAAAATAATTTCAAGAATAGTCCTAAATATGAAATATAATATAAAATAGAAAATAATGTATTAGAATTAGATTCTATTTATTTTAATTCTAAGTGAAAATAAACATAAAGTTACATGTATAAAATATAACCTAGCAAACACAATCTGACGTTATTTATTATTTTGACGTAAAAATTAATAATCTTTCGTTAACTTATAATAATATATAAGAAAAAAAATGAAAAAAAGTAAATTTTTTGTTTATAGGAGATATGAATTATGATACTACATGGGATATTTTCGATGTGTTGTCTAAAATAAGAATGGCTTTTTTCCGTTCTCTACTCGAATCGTTGCACAAGAACGATGGTGTGGTCAAGAATGAATTTCCCTCGCGTAAACAGTTCTTTCTTCAACCGACTGCGACTAATTTAATCGAGAAAACCATCAAAGAGATGAAGTCTATGCCAAACGATAAGGGTTACATGTTAATCGCTGCCGTGCCGGGAAGCGAGGGAGCCGCCGCTGTCGATCTTCTTCAACGCGAAGTAATCATAGCTTCATTATCAATAAAATCATCAAATCTGATCCGCAAATGATTTAGAATATAAATATAGTTTAGTAGGTTTCTTAATTGGAGTATCTTCGTTAAATATTAAATTGAAATGCCGAAATCTCGGAAATAAGTATAATAAATAAAAAATAATTATCAATTTTTGCATACATTAATAAGCTCTTAATTTTTTCGTAAATCAATTAAGGCTTCTCTGAAGAACACTCTTTTGATCGTAACACAAATCTGTATTGATGACCAAATACCCGTTTCATTTGCTGCACAAGGACCGAATTCTCAAATTTTTCGAGAGGCAAGAGTTATCGATGAGCTACCAATTTTAATAAAAAAAGCGATAATCACAAGTGATTGTTATGATAATAACGAATGTGTAAATCAACAAAAACGCGATGTTCCGATTGAGTCACGTGTGTCGATTGGCGGAGTCATTTCGCAAGAATTGCCAGCGGAAAAGCGAGTTGTTAGAAACATGAACACAGAAAAACTGGTAAGGTGAATCGATCAGGTCTTGTTAGTTAATAATAATAACTTGTTTAAATGTGTTGCAAGTTTATTTTAATATTATTGTTTATATTTAATACACTTATATACGTCGCATTCTTTGAACATTAATCTTTACATATACATTATTTTATAATGCGTCTTAAAATACAGATTGTATAAAAGTAGATGAATATATAGTTTAACATATATTTGAAATTTAAATAACAATAATAATGCTTTGTTAAATACAATTAATTAATTAATTTGGATTAGATTAATCCAAAATTAAATTAAAAAAAATAATTGTGAAATTAATTGTTAATTCTGATTAAATTATCTATAATATCTTTTACCTAAAAATAATTGTACTTCATTTTTGTACAGAAAACGGATGAACTGAATGGCACCACGTCAAAGTAGGTTCTTTGTTTGTGTAAATTTTATTGTGTGTGTTTGTAACAAAGATTTTAATAAAAGTTAGTTTCAATCAGATTTAAATAATCTGATTTAGAAATATGTATATTGAGCTTTGATATAAAAATGATCATTTTATATCGTTTGTTTAGAGCACCGTAAATACCGAAGGAACAACTATTGGGAAAGAAATACAACCAGGCTTCCCAGAAGACAATACCATGTGACCTTAGTACAGTTCGCGGTATTATGATCTCGATTCTCGCCAAGGCCGCAATAATATCTTAAATGTTGACATAATATTTCGTATTTCGTCTTTATATATTTTTATTTCTTTATCTTTTTTCTATTTACCCTTCTATCTATATTTTACATAATATAGATGCGAAAAAATGAGAGTAAACACAACAATTTTGATAATATTTTCTTTAAAAAGTATTATAAGCGATAATATTCGGCAAATAACTTGTTCGCGAAAGGAAACAAATTATAATGTTATTACATTGTCATATTATCAATTAAATCTATGAATAAACCTTTGACGAATAAATTGTGCTTGTGCGATACGTGAGATAATTGCCCTGATTGCATCAGAAATGAACTTTTCCCAAAGAAAAATTAATTTCCGATACGTAAAGCTGTCTCGTTATGATCTAATTGGCAATTCAGAGAAGGCGCAGAATTGACCAGCTCGCGGGGCCAAGTGTTCACCGCGTGTCTAAACACGTCTTGCTAGGTCCAGTCAATTTCAAAATCACACGCGATTGCAACTAGTAATTTTATATACACGCGAATTCTTTCGGTTATGACGGTCGCTACTCGCGTAATATCGTGCCCTGGTGCAACAACGGCGCACGTACCCGCGAAAGAAAGTAAGACGAGGGCACGAGTGCAGCCGGTGTGAGTAGCGTGCGATTCTATGCACTCGGAAGTGAGTACGATAAAGAATCGAGCAAACGATTATCACAGAGTTATCTTCACTAGCGGCTTGCAAAAGTCGATAATAAGTTCTTGCATTAATTATTAATTATTCGCAAGTGTCGCACAAAGACTTGCGATTCCGTTCGTGTTAATATAATGATCACAATATTACATCGATAACTGAAGTTTTTTTGAAGAAAACTTCGTTAATTTCGTTAAATCTTATTTTATAATCTTATGTGACTATAAAATATACGTTCGAGAATAATTTGATAATAACTTGTGTAGTGTTAAATATATTACTTAATAGGATTGAGCTGGCGATGTGTTCAGCACACATTAGAATTACGATTAGAATTACGTAAAACAAGCGTGCATAATAATGAAGAATGAACTTTGTAACAATTATATTGTTTTTTTGATTTGATCATTATTGTCTATATTTGAATACAGAGTAAACAGGTTTATTTTTTTTTCAATTCAGCTTCTTAAATAGTGTTATCTTCTCTTTTTTTTTCTTCACGTTGGAGAAACAAAGAGATAACGTTTTTCATATTTATCACTTTTTTTTTTGTCACTTTATCCTTTTTTTTTATATAAAAAATGTGCACAAGAAATAACTGCGGCAAATCCCGAGATTCGTCACAATTAATTCTTTCTTATTGTCAATCTTTTTCGCTGATAATTTATTAAATAATAGCCTACATTTATAACTAATTATGCATATAATGTTGATATCAATCGTATATTTATTATGCTAGGCTAACCAATGCATTCACAAAGTGAATCTAATAGTAGATAAAAATAGCTAGTATAAAGTTTTCTATTTCTTTCCTATTGTATATTAATAATACAATCAATTATATGAATACTTTGCTAATAAAAAAAAAACCTGTCGACACTTTTTGCGCGATAGTCTCACTCTCTTCCAAGACATTAATTAAACCAACACGAGAACGGCTTTTTTTGGTATACGATTTAAATACGTAATTCTATATGGTTCTTTCTCAAGTGATGGATGACGATGAACAAAAGCATTAACGGAATAACTTTTGTTTCTTAATAATGTATTTCGACGAAGACTGGGGAATTATTATTAACACGGATCAGTACACTTCCGGGTTTACTTATGCATCACATACAACGGTAAGTAATTGCAATAATTTCGCAATTACTTACCGAGGAACAGCGATAACTAACTTCAATATAATTCCGTGATTTTAGAAACTCACGAAATTGCAACGTTTATATAACGTGAAAATTCTCGCCTGATGAGCGTGCCTGACCGCTTTGGTGCGTGCGTGATTCATCTTTTTTGCTCTGATAAACAATAAAATATGAAACTTTCTTCTGGGAATTAATCTACGTATTCTTAAGCGATTTGCATGCAAATAATTAAAAGCTTTTATTTTTTTTCTCATGTTCTTTTTATAATATCTATTAGCTTTTTTAGTTGGCTTCAGACTCTATGGCTCTATGGCCAATGTACGTCAACTTTATGCACATTCGCTAAATATCGATCTACATTCATAGATAATTATGTATGCCATGTGTATATGTATATGTAACATTGGCTAATGTTGGCTTGCATTAGACATGTCATTTGACTCCACCTTAATAAGATTGGAAATTAGTCAGTAATCTCTTCTTTATAAAAACAGAAATAGACCTTTACGTTAAATTTTTTTGCTCATGTAAAGTCGCTTAAAATTTGCATAAATATAATTTTATAATGAACAACTCTATATTACATTATGAAATTTTCAGATAATGATTATATTTGGTTATTTTCACAATTTTAGCCTATTATTTTTGGGACTACCCACAGACGCTATGCAATACGTAAATGCTTGCTTTGCTCTGTTTAATGTGATATTATTCAAAATGTATTCTTTTACGTTCTCACGGAATAAACGGGATTTTTTCTGACTCCCACCAAATTAACGGAGCTCGACCAATTTATTAGTAAAATTTGCCCGAAAAAATTGTTAATCAGATTTTCTTTTTACCTCGTTGTACTATAACGGCAGAGAGTGGGGTGTCTCTCTGATAAAAGGAGAACCGGTCCACACGAAGTAATCATTCCCACTCCGTTGTTCATTTACCGTCTCTCGAGAGTTCGCGGCTCCGCTCATTTCTCTTTCCGCAACAATCCGAAAGTCGCCGTTGCCGCGATCATTTGAGTGTCTGTGCCTGAAAATCGTGTTGCACATCGGTCAAGGTAAGTTTGGCCCTCTTTTATAAGAAACATTCAGATTGAGATCATTTTGCATGCATATCATGTCACGTTAATGTTACTGCATAATACCACAGTTACAGATACATTTAGCAAAATATGCTTTAAACGTCGCGTTTAATCTCTCTAAATATAATAAAGGGTAAGGATTGTACGTTTCAAATTTAACGCAGAACCGCAATCATATTATCCGCAATATTTTATTTAACTCTTCTTTAATTCTTTTTAAATTTCGGGTTATCTTTATTTCCTCTTATACATTTTTTCCTCGTCTATATATACTACAGACACGACACATCAATTTATTTTATACTATAAATATCAAACAACCATGTGAGATTATTGAATATTTATAAAGTTGAAAACTGAAGATCCTCCTTTGTGTTTATGAGAACAGGTTTAAATGTATTTCTCTTCTTAAATAGTACCATTAATTCTAAATCTTTATAGTTAAACATTACTGTTAATTTTTTAAATCCGTGATATTTAATTAAAATTAAAAAGGTTCTCTCTTTGTCTCTCTTTTTCCCTAATAACTTGACATTATTATAAATTTAATTTCTATTGTATTCAAATTACATCCATTGATGCTGTACAGATAATACCCAAGTAATAACAAAATACCTATAAAATATTAAAAAAGACACTAAAAAATATACAAGCACTTTCTTAGTGCTTTACAGTTGTTTTCAAATATTTGTTAGAGTATAGACTTTCATACTTGCAATTTTCCTGTGCTTTACGAAAAGATAGTTTACGCGATAGTAACCTAGTCGCACTTACGTCATAGCTATTCTAATTTAAAAAACCTCTTGCTTTTAACTTTGTTATTTTTTAACTTCAAATTTTTACTTTCTCCTTTAAGTAAATACTTTGTTCTCGCGAACTCTACGTGGCAAGGAGAATATGCCCTACAATTTGTTGGTATAAATTACAAGAATATGATCTTACAAAATATTAGATGGCGACTAAACAGGTCATAAAAAATGAATTTCGAAATACCGCCGTTCCCGAAACGAGAAGGGATAAAGATTAAGAAACATTCTCTCGGCTTCATACGTATGAAGCCGCGACGAGTTAGAGAAAGTTCGCGTTGAGCAAGCCGCTTTGGTCAGCATTAATTCCTGACATAAGAACGATGGGTATCTCAACCGGTTGTGCAATCCCTGTAGCGCACATTGCGCGCGTAACACGTGCAACCGAAAAAGAGTTACAGGCATTATGCATACGCAGGACGATGTCGGATTTATTTTGCAAATATAATTTAATTTTACGCTTTCTAATCCTGAAAATGGGGGACGTAAATTTATATTTTTTATTATAAGAATTTTTTCTCAATTATCTTCGAATTTGCCTGTCTCTGTTTGGCATATAAGTACGTTCCTACTTTCTTATTGTGCATGCTGTGTTTGTAGATGCTGCTGATACAGCCTACTGAGGAAATGTCTAAGCAGATACGAGTGGAGTTGAACGAGAATATAGCAACGCGTGATAAGGATCTCGAAATGATCAAAGAATGGCTCACTAAGCAACCGCATTTACCTAAGTTTGATGGTACACACGATTTTTGTCAGATATTTGTTAAATGACACATAAAATTATATAATCGCGAAGGCGATCTACAGTCTGTATAAAGTTTTGGGATAGAATCTTTTTTATAGTTTTTTATATTGCATATTTTCATATACATATATACAGGGAATGGAAGTAACTCGTTACTTGTAACGAAGTTACAGTTACAAGTTACTTTTTTGGTAACTTTACTGGTAACTGCGTTACTTTCTTTTTTTGGTAACTGTAACTGTAACTAGTTACATTTTTTACTCGGTAACGAGTAACTGTAACTAGTTACATTTTTTACTCGGTAACGAGTAACTGTAACTAGTTACATTTTTTACTCGGTAACGAGTAACTGTAACTAGTTACATTTTTTACTCGGTAACGAGTAACTGTAACTAGTTACATTTTTTACTCGGTAACGAGTAACTGTAACTAGTTACATTTTTTACTCGGTAACGAGTAACTGTAACTAGTTACATTTTTTACTCGGTAACGAGTAACTGTAACTAGTTACATTTTTTACTCGGTAACGAGTAACTGTAACTAGTTACATTTTTTACTCGGTAACGAGTAACTGTAACTAGTTACATTTTTTACTCGGTAACGAGTAACTGTAACTAGTTACATTTTTTACTCGGTAACGAGTAACTGTAACTAGTTACATTTTTTACTCGGTAACGAGTAACTGTAACTAGTTACATTTTTTACTCGGTAACGAGTAACTGTAACTAGTTACATTTTTTACTCGGTAACGAGTAACTGTAACTAGTTACATTTTTTACTCGGTAACGAGTAACTGTAACTAGTTACATTTTTTACTCGGTAACGAGTAACTGTAACTAGTTACATTTTTTACTCGGTAACGAGTAACTGTAACTAGTTACATTTTTTACTCGGTAACGAGTAACTGTAACTAGTTACATTTTTTACTCGGTAACGAGTAACTGTAACTAGTTACATTTTTTACTCGGTAACGAGTAACTGTAACTAGTTACATTTTTTACTCGGTAACGAGTAACTGTAACTAGTTACTTTTAAAAAGTAACTTTCCATTCCCTGCATATATATATAAGTCTGTATTCAGAATTTACAACAATGTTAGCGTTTTAATATGCTATATATAATTTATGTTTACGTTACACATACTACAAAATTTCGAAGATAAAAACTCGTTTTTTATAAAAAAAAAAACGCGCTATGAATACATATCATAATTTTATAATATTAAATTTTATTTTAATTTATATGTAGTAGTAGTTTTTATTAACGCCATCGCCATAAGGCATTAAGCAATGACTTCCTTCATACATATAATTTACATATTCAACTATATTAAACAATATCCGCCGCAATATACCACACAATTGACTGCTTACAGTACTCACATGCCATATATCCCCTATTTGTTCTTTCCTTTTCTAATTACATTTAACTTTTCATTCAGCTTATTTAGCCATTCGTATCCATTTCCATCCTCTCTTAAAAGTCCATTCACGCTTCCATTCCATCTCTCCATTTTTTCGCACTCATACATCCAGTGTTCTAAGCTTTCTTTTACTCTTTCACACAATTCACAGTTCATTATTTCTCTATCTATCCAATAACAATTATTTCTTTCCAAATTTCCGCATCTTGCCCTAGCTATTATACACTTTTTATTTACTTTTTTATTTTCTCTCTCAGTCAGATATTTTGGTAACATTAACGTTTTTACATCTTTATATCTATAATTATATTCCGAATTTTCCATACTATTATAATTTTCTTGCCCCTGCACCTCAACATCTCTTTGCTTTAACTCATCTACATTTTTCACACTACACTCCCATTTCTCAACACTCATTCCACATCTCCATAAATACTTTCTTTTCTCCTCATTCTCCTCCGTCCATACATTCCTACTTTCATCCTGCATTCTCTCCCTATCGCATTCCAATATTATCTTTGCACTACTCTCCTCTCCCATTTTCTTTTCATATCTTATGGCCCTATTACCTGTTTCTACTCTAATCTTGTTTCTCTTGCCCTCCTCCCTTACAATATATCCCGGTGTATTCCAGTTAACTCCCATAACCCATCTTAGATATTTCTCCCCTACACTTTCTATTTCTCTCCATTCCCTATAGCCCCATATCTCAACTCCATAAAACAGTACACTTTTGACTAGGGAGTCAAAGAGTCTCCATCTCCATCTCCAATCATCTCTAAACTTTCTCTCCCCGAATCCCCAAACCCATCTCATTATCAGATTCGCTTTTTTAACTCTATCTCGAATCTGCTCTATATTCCTATTGCTTCTTTGTAAGATATAACCTAGGTATTTGAACTTTCTTACTACCTCTATGTTTTCACCCTTCCACCACCATTTTCGTGCACTATCCCTTCCTCCCCCCTTTTTAAAAATCATAATCTTTGTCTTTTCTACATTTAGCTTTAGTTTCTTATTTTTTAAATACTTCCCTAATCCTCTTATCATTCCGCTTAGCCCATCCTCTGTTTCCGCCAAAACCACTATATCATCTGCATATTCTAACGTTACAATTCTATATTCCCTTATTTTTACTCCTCCTACCCCTTTTTTTAAGAACTCTACCAAATCTGCAATGTATAGGCTGAACAGTGATGGGCTCAGCGGACATCCTTGTCTGACCCCATTTTCTATCCAGAAATACTCCGTCAATTTTGATCCAATTTTAACTCTGCATCTGGTTTCCTTATAGATTTCTTTTATTTTTTCAATTAAACTCTCCCTTATTCCTCTCTTTTTCAGGCAATTCCACAAGCTTTCTCTATTAACTTTGTCAAATGCTGCTTTTAAATCCACGAACATCGCGTATGTTTTCTTACTCTCATATATTCTTCTACCTACTATGTGTTTCAGTATTTTTATACAATCTATTGTTCCTCTTTTTTTCCTAAATCCAAATTGCGACTCACTCCACGCCCCCACTCTATCCGCTTCCTTGATCAGTCTTTCGTTTAAGATTCCTGCATAAATTTTACTAGCTGTACTTGTTAATGTGATTCCCCTATAATTTTCTACCTTTTTACTATCTCCTTTCTTTTTAATTGGTACTATTATTCCGTCCCTCCATTCATTTGGATATTCTTCTCCTTTTATTATTTTATTGAATAAATTGACCAATTTCTCAACTATTTTCTCACCTCCATACATCCATATTTCATTTTTTAGTTCATCTATTCCTGCTGCTTTATCCTTTTTCATTTTTTTAACCTGTAGCATTACCTCCTCTGTTGTGATCTCCTTTTCCATTTCTCCATTGTCCTTGTTTTTTCTACTATCCTTGCTCGACTTCTCCTTCTCCTCTGTTCCTTCTAACAATTCCACGAAATACTTTTTCCACTCTTCTAACTTAATTTCTTTATTAATGCCTTCTCTTTTTTTCCTATATTTGTTTACATACTGCCACGCTTGTACATCCGTTTTTATGTTTTTTATAACCTCTTCTTCCTTAATTCTCCATTCTTTAAGTTTTTGTTCACATAACTTTTTGTATTCTTCTCTAGCTTTCGATATTTCTACTTCCTTTCTTTTCTTAGCTTCTCTTAATATTTTTCTTAGTTTCTTTTTACCCTCCCAGCACTCCCGGTCCCACCATGGTTTTGTATTCATAATCATTGTATTCTCTTTCCTTTTATTTTTACTAACTGCTTCCCCTAATTTTTTTCTCATATCCTCCCACTCTTCAGCGCTGTTATTTACTATATTCCATTGCATTTCTTCTACTCTTTCCTTATATATTTTAGTCCCCTTCTCCGACCAATCCTGTATTACTCTTTCTTCCTCCCTCTCTATTACTCTCTCTATTTCCCCTTCTATTTCTACTACTAAGGCATTATGATCAGATTCTACTCTTTCTATCACCTTAAATTCGCTTACTTTATCCCACGTTCTCATGCTTGTTATACAATAATCTATTACTGATTTATTTAATCCCTTTTCATACGTCCAATTCCCTTCTTCGTCCCCTTGTTTATTTCCGTTCAAAATTACCCATCCTTTCTCTTCTACTAATCTTAACAGCTCTTCCCCCTCTTTATTTAATACTTCATCTTTAGATTTCCTTTCTATTTCCTTTCTACCTTCCTCCTCCCAGCCCATTTCCCCTCCTTCTCCTATTCTTGCATTAAAATCTCCTCCAACCAATATAAACTTTTCATCCCTCTCTTTAGTAATATTATCTAATTCTTGCAATCTGTCCCTATTTCCCTCTTTATTATATACTCCTATTATTCTCCATTTTTTTTCTCCCAGCTTTATTCTACATTCAATTAGCCACTCCTTATCTAACTTTATTTTTTCAACTACAATTCCTTTTCTTATTCCTAAAATTATTCCTCCCATTGCCCTGCCCTTTATCATCTTTTTATTTGCTCCAACGTTTTCCCATATCCATTCTTTTGGTAAATTTTTTTTAAAAACGTCCCAATTTTTGTTTTCTAACCATGTCTCTATAAAAATTATCACATCATACTCTTTTATCCAATCCCAAAATATCTTATTCTTATTATTAATTCCCGCTATATTCCAGAATAAAATTTTACATTTACCTAACTTTCTTTTTTCATTCACTTTTTTATTACTACTGCTCCTTTTTGCTCTCTTACTCTTATTTAATTTTTTACAATCCTTTACCTCATCCTTATCGCACTCATTCATTCTTATCTCTTCATGCATATCTTTTCCCACATCCATCTTTTCCTTTCCTTGTATTCTTACCCCTCCATCTGTATTTCTGTGCTCCTGTAAAACCCCCTCTCTACAACACTCTTACTTCCTTCGTTCCACATCCATTCTTTTCCATTTACCCACATTCTACCATACGCCACTTTAACATTCGCTCCACTTATTCTTTCACTCTTCGCCTTTAGTCTTAATTTTGCCTGCATCTCCCTCTCTCCCTTAGTCATATCGTCATTAATGTAAACATTTTTATACCCCTCTCTATTTGCCAGCTTCTTTTTGTTAACCATAACTAGTCTTTTTTCTTCGTAATTTCCCAATTTCGCAATTATTACCCCTTCCCTTTCCCTATTTCCGACTCTATACACTTCTTTCAATTCTACCCTATTTTCTAAACCCCCCATCTCCTTGAGTACTTTCGCTACCGCCCCCTTTGCGTCCCAACCCTCTACTTTCATCCCCGTTATTGCTATTCTGCATCTTCTTTCTCTTCTTTCTTCCTCTTCTCTCTTCTTCTCCATCCATATCATCTTCTCTTCATAGCGTCTGCCTTGTTTTTCTTGTTCTCCACTCTTCTTTTTCAACTCTTCTATCTCATTCTTCAGTTCTGCTATTTCTTCATCTCTGTTTTTCTCTCTCTTCTCACTCTCTTCTCTGTATCTTTTAAACTCCTCTTTCCACTCTCTTATCTCTTTTAACAGTTCTACATTGTTCTCTCTTAGTATTTTCTTAATCTTTTCTTCCTCCATTTTACATCTTTCTTCTTTAGCTTTATTTTCTTTCCTCTTCTTGCTTCGACTCTTCGTTATCTCCCACTCGTCCTCGCTGCTTTCTTCGCTTCTCTGTTTCCTCTTCAGCCACGAGGCTACGCTGCTCACCGATCCACTTCTTTCACTTTCTTTCCGCAGGCGATCGACGTTCGTCGGCCGTCCCCTTCGCTTAATCTCTTTTTTGTCTTCTCGTTCGCCTTCTCCTGATATCTGACTTGCTTCCGATGTTGCTTCCCCTTCCTTATCCACTCCCTCTCCTATCTTAGCTACCCACACCTCGGTGCGTCTCTCCCTCTCGTTCCTCGCCAGCTTCTATCTCTCCTTCCCCTCTCTCTGTCGCTACTCTTCTCTCTCTCTACTTCTATGTCCTTCGCTACTCATGTACTAACTCGGAGAGCATTACTCCGCCCTCATCTGCCGTTGTATGCTCGAAGCATGTAGCCCTATGCATGCACAAATATTACAAATATATATATAAATATACTCCGCTCTCCACTGCCTCTCGCCGCCTCTGCACCACTCTATCCTCGTACCCTCTCTCTCACACTCTCATGCCATGCAACTTTGTTGTGTGACGTTTTAGGTTAGATTTGCCTTCTTCCCTTTTTCGCAAAAATCTCGCTTCTCCAAACGGATAAACAAGCTGTTTATTATCGCTCAGCTCTATCTCTACCGACTCTTGCCTTCTGTAACAAACTCCCCGCAGGGCGTATCTCTCTTAACCGGAAATCCTATTTTAATTTATATTGTATTTTATTTTAATACATTATTCGTTGTATTTAAATGTTTAGAATAAAATTCTGTTTTAAATTCTGACATAAAAATTATATAGATTATCTAAAGTAGGCTTTAAGATATTTTTTCGATTAATTACAATATAGATATATAGTAACTATAATATAATCTTATTGCCTATTAGATGATCGAAGAATAATGACATTTCTACGTGGATGCAAGTTTTCCTTGGAGAAATGCAAACGGAAACTGGATATGTACTTCACGATGCGCGCAATAGTCCCTGAATTTTTCTCCAATCGTGACATCACAAGGCCGGCGCTGCAAGAAATAGTAAAGCTTGTGTAAGAATATTGCAATATTAAGCACATTATACATATGGCGATAATTTATGATGTCGATATTATTCGGTATTAGATATTCGGATTCGTAGTGAAAGGATTATGAACTATAGGCAAACTAATCGAACTCTTCGTCTTCTTCTCGCAGACATCTACCTCCTTTACCGGGCTTGACACACAAAGGATGTAGAGTGATCGTCATGAGAGGAGTTGATAAGGACGTACCGACTCCCAATATACCGGAAGCTATGAAGGTATAAGTTCCATTTCATTTCGTCAAAATTATCCAGATATTTACGGTTTTGTTGAAGTAGCTAAAAATTTAGACACAAATCTAAAAATAATTTTGTTGAACCTTTAAAGTAATTATGTAGGACGTTTAAGTAATGTTTACAAAAGTTTTAGCAATTAGTTTAAGCGTTCTTCATAATTATTTGAATAATCAATAAAATTCAAACCCGTGCTGTGAAAATTTAGATTCATTTTGGCTGCTTTACTTTAAAAGAAAATTATACAAAAAAGAACTGGTTTTTGTTAAAGTACACTGACAATTTAGCTAAATACAAATTTGAAAATAATTTTATTGGTTCCTTAAAATAATAAAGTAGGACGCTCAAGCATGATAGACAATACTTCAAATAATTGATGTTGTAGCAATCAGCTTAAACGTTTTTTATAACTATTTACATGTTTTAAAAAATTATTTTTAAACATATGTAGCTAAATTATAATATTAAATACTTCAGCAAAACCATATAAGCATTGCTTTAGAAATTTTATTGTGCCTGAAAATGGAAGATTAATCTTATTTATAGCTTAATCTTTCGTATTGGTGCTTAGTATTCTGGGAAAGATACTTTATGTTATACTTCGTATCATAGCGTCAGAATAACAGACATTATTATCATTAAAGATAGTGTTCATGATCGGCGACGTTCGTTTGAAAGAAGAGGAGCACGGTGTGGCCGGTGACGTCTACATCCTTGATGCTGCCGTTGCGACGCCCATACATTTTGCCAAGTTTACACCACCTATAGTGAAGAAATTTCTGGTCTGCGCGATGGAGGCATATCCGGTGAAGCTGAAGGAAGTGCACGTGATAAACATCAGTCCGCTTGTAGACACGATCCTTAATTTCGTCAAACCGTTCCTGAAGGAAAAGATACGCAATCGCATCTTCATGCACAGTGACATCAAGACACTATACGATTACGTACCCCGAGAGATATTGCCGGCCGAGTACGGTGGCGACGCTGGACCCATTCAGAATATACATGGCACGTCTCAATTTCATTAATTCTATTTATTTAAAGTTATATAGAGTCTCTCGAAATGTAACTTTTAATTTCAAGCACAGGTCTTTTAAATCTCTTGAATATTTCGAGAAAAAAAGTATTTTAATCAAAAAAGTCTTTTTCATTAAATATATAAAAAAAGTTGTTAAAAAAAACATTAAATTTTCTTTATTAAATTTATGAAACTTTTATATGATATTGAAGCAAATAATAATAACAACTTAATAGTTATTATCAAAATAGCAATAAGGTACTTGTAGGAAACGTTTGCATTTTATATATTTTCAATGTTAAGACGATTTCTCTATATCGTTTCTTTTTCTTTTGTCTTCTTCAGACAAGTGGATGAAGAAGTTAGAGGAATACGGACCGTGGTTCGCGGAGCAGGAAGCTTTGAAGACTAATGAGGCCTTACGACCAGGTAAACCAAAGACGCAAGACGACCTATTTGGTCTCGATGGATCCTTCCGGCAGTTATCGATCGATTAAGTCATTTAACGCGATCCGAAATCGTTATGGCGTAATCATCGCCAACGGCAGTCGTTAATCAGATCGTCAGCATAAACTTTGATGTTGATCGGTCATAAACTCCGTCCACGATGAAAACATTGAAATCTGAACATTTTTGTTTCAAACGACTACAAATGTATCGCAAACTTTTATGCGAATTGTGCTCAACATCGAGTATGTACCTTTAAAATAACACGACCAAATTCGTATATACTTGCGTAGTTAAAGCATAATATATTTTTACCGAAAATTTCTTAATTGTTTCACTGACTCTTTGCCCTTCTTCTATATACTTTGTTTTATACTTATAGAGTCTAACTTTTATTACTTTTACCGAAAAGCTTGCCAGAAAAATAGCAACGATGATTCATTATTAACAGTATTTTTCATTTTTTATAATTTTTTTAATATGATAATTTATTTATTTTTACAAACTAAATTAAATTATAATATCCGTTCAAATGAATTTTTCAAATTAATTATAATTTTCAAATTTATTTTTACAATTGGAGAGACGTTATATTATTGATTATAATTCATTAGACGATAACTTTAAAGACGATAACAAAAAACAAAGTTTATCATTTTTCTTTTTATTCATCTTTCCTTTTCATCGACTTTTATTGAATAATACAGTTCGTGTTTTTCTACGTACATAGAATAATCAAATTTTAATATTCTCTTTTAGGATTTTATGTAATAAAATGATAACTATACTTCATATACATATAATCATATTAATGATAAAACATAAAAATTATATTTTGGTTTTGTCTTCTAAATTGACTATCTCTCTAAATCTCGTGGAATGAAATTTTTCTCCACCACTCTCTTGTTCAACAGTAATAGATTTTTCACTTTTTTTAAAGTGAGATTTACTCTTTCGGAATGAGATTCACTCCAAAGGAGTGAAATCTCAGTCTCTGTTTTGGAGTGTATATAATACCAGAGTAAATAAAACCTCACTCTGAAATGAGATTTTACTTCCTTTGGAGTAAAATTTATTCCAAAGGAGTAAAATCTACTCCAAAGGAGTAAAATCTCATTCCAAAGATTAAATCTTACTTTAAAAAGAATGAAAATCTTCAACTCTTGGACAAAAGTGATAATATTTTCACGTTTCTTTTTTTTCGAGACTGACTTAATTTTAGTCTTTTCGAGTGATATTTTACTCCACGAGATTTAGAGAGTAAGTTAAGAAATTTTATTGCCAAAGTTGATGTCTTACAATAGGTAATATCTCAATATACAAAATATTGTGATATAACGTTTAGTCAAGCAGTATGTTAGAATATACCATACTTTTATACATATGTATATGCACATTATTAACTCTAAAACGCCTTTTCAGTATGACAAATCAAGATTTTCTTTTACCAATACCTGTTCAATGTTTTTCCATTGTTTACAACTTTTTTATTAATAAAGGTACATAACATTTATTTAGTACCGTTATGTTTCTCAATGTCTGACGTTTTAATTGAACAAAAATTGTTTATAACATGCGTTTACTTTCATGAAAGTAATAAGCAATCGCGTTAAATTGGCGAAGTCTAAGTGTGTTGTTTCCGCAATGAGGCGTTTAAGAGTTAAGTTTATATTGTAATTATCACAATCACGTCGTTAGTAAAATATGCGATAATGTTTGGAAATCGAGCAATGCTGAATTTCGTAGTAGAGTAAATGTAGCAATGTAAAAAAGTTTGGTAATAGTTCTGTACAGTTTTTGTTGGAATCGCTGGCGATTGCGCTTGGTAAATGTGCAAAAGTGTGGCGCACTGATACGTACCTATCATTCACGTGATGTTTTCTGATACTTCAGATATTTTTTTATTGATATTCTATCTCTTAAGAAATCGCGAATAATGTCTTCTAGAATGAAATATATGTTAATGTATTCAAATATTAATGGGTAATTTATATAAATAATAAATCGTAAAAGAAAACATTTTTCCTCAATCAATATCAAATACGCAGACAGATTCTTCGCGTGCCTCACATCAGTGACTCATATAGCAGTATTTTCGTCAGAGCGCGTATAAGAAGTTTACATGCGATTACATGTTATACCATAATGAGACGAGAAATTGCGAGAAGTGTTTTGTAATATACAATTTCAGAGACCTTGCAGTAAAACGTAAACCCTATTCTTAGAAAAAAAAATAGGTCCAATTTAACTTGGTCAGCAGCGACGCCAATCATCATTAATTCGTCACGAAGTAGAACGAAAACGAAAGATTCAATAAGAATGTCTCGTATCCAGTGAAAGTTGTATGTAACAGTTAAACCGCTGTACTGAAATTATCCGAGTTTCCATTTACGTTCACTTGACTTCCTGAGATAATCAATGCTAACTCCGTATTTTAATAATTCGAAAGTTAAAGAGAGAGAGAGAATAACTAAAATTTCTAAAAAGTATTACTGGGTCTAAAACAATTATCCTAAAAGTTTCTGCGAACAAGATTTCTTTCTTCTTTTTATTAAAACGAGATCGATGTACAATCTATTTAAGGTTAATTTATATATATAGTTATACATATATTTGGTCGGTTAATATTAATATTAAATTTCAAAAATTGTATTAACTCTTCTGCTATTTGATATATTTATAAAAATTAGCAAATAAAAGAAATTTATCTAATTTCTTGTTTTTTGTTTACTTTCCGCATAAAGAAAGATTTTTTTTATTCACACACATTCTTTACTAATGATATTCTCTATTAGAATAATAAGATTCTATTTAAAAAAGAAACCATCTTATCTCAATATATTATTCAAATTAAGTCTTCATTAGTCGCATCCTGGTAGGATTTGATGATTCCAATAATGACCTAATAAATGTGAAAAATAAAAATAAATTTTTTGAGCGACATATCAACACCAGCGATGACGATAGTGATGGTGATCCTAATATTATTCGTCATGCCATCATATAATATATGCGAGACGAGTAGTCGCCTCTCTTCCCGTGTGGACATATCCCTACTTCTTCATTCTTTTAGTCACTGCAATGCAAATGTCAGTCAGTCAGTCAGGCAGCTTATCAATCAGTCGGTTATTCGATTAAGTTAACTAATTAAACTTTTTCTACAATCCGCGGAATCAATAAATTATCAAAGTGTTAAAGATGATAATTAAAATCAATCAATACAGGGCGCGTATAATGATAATTAAATTGATGTTTGACAAAAAAATAATTTGTGAAAGTAGAGTGGTTTATTTTGTTGTCTTTAATTTGATGAACAATTATAAATCGTCAAAATAATAAATGATATTATCTGGAGTTACAATATTAATAATAAAAATAATTTACGATAGAAAATAAACAAATGTAACAAAATTGAGAAACGCTCTAGTTACAACAGATTAATGAATTATTTTATAAAAATGTACTAACAATTTTTGCAAAATTTATCAAGATCTTTATTATTATATCATTTTTTACTTGTATACTTGTAAATATTTAATTAAATTTTGACATTTTAGATTTTGCAGGCAAATTTTTAAATATAAAAAGTATTTTTCAGTTATTTAAAATCGAATTTTACAGAATAATAAATACTTTGACTCTTTTTTTGCTATATAATGCAATATTATATATGTGACAATTGAAAAAAAGTTTCCGAGCGTGTCAATTGAAGAAAAACTATTGTTTTTCTGGAAGAAAAAACTCACCAAATAATTACGGAGATTTTACGTTCGACTATTAGTATACATTTTGCATTTTTCTTCATTTTGTAAGTACGATTTTTTAAATAATTTTTCAAGCATTTGCATACACTTTTTCCATACTTTGCGAACTATATTGTATGAACTTGAAATTTGAAACAATACTTTGGCAATATAAAAAGAACAAATTTAAATATGAAGAATGTTGTAGAATTATTCAAATTTATTTTAATAATGCAAAATTAGCCTGTTGCTGAATTTTAAGCAGAAATAGAACTTGTTTCAAATTTTTACATAATATTTAATCGGTGGAGGAATATTTTTGGAATATTAAAATACTGTGTTATATACATATATATATATGTGTGTGTGTGTATATTTATACACTGTAATTTATTTGTATAGATTTCTAGTTATAAAATTAACTTATTAACGTTCAAAGCTAATTTATAACTTCAATTTGCTGAAGTGCTGTTGTGTTATTAATGAGAAAAGCATATTGATTGCAGTAGTCTCTGGATTTACCGTCTTCGTGTTTTGACATATATGATTCTATAATAGCGCACACAACAACCTGATAACTTATGCAGCATTCGAGCACAACAGTATCAATATTAATATTCGGTGAAATGAATTTAATAAAACAAATTAGAACAATTGAAGGGTTAAGAGCCCTTTATACAGTAAGCCAGTTATATAATAAAGAATGTTTATTTTAAAAACATAATAAAAATATAACGTTGATAATATCATTTTGGCTGCTCCTTCTGAGTTTGTCAACGATATATTAACAATTTTTCATTCCTTGCATACCAGATTACAGTTTATAGTGCAGGTTGGTACGAATAGTAAGATTAGTTTCTTAGATACACTATTAATTATTGAAGACAACAGACTTATTTTTGACGGATACCGTAAGGCAACCTTTTCTGGAAGATTTCTTTTCAATTCACAATATCCTATCTGTCATAAAAGAGGCGTTATTTATGGATTCGTTGACAAGGTAATTCGCTTGTGCCATCCATGTTTCCACATGGCTAATTTTATTGATGCTATCAATGTCCTTTTACATAATGGATATCCATTGCGATTATTTATCTTTTTGACGATCCATAATAGAATAAAATTTCATATTAAAAAAAATAGCACTATTCAGAATAATACTAACGGTTCCTTATTCTATTTCTGGTTAATTCTATTTTTGAAAAATTTGCACCGTTGGTCAATGTTTTTAATTGTAAACTAGCTTACACAATCCCTAATACTTTAAATAAATTAATAAAAAAGGAAAGGACCATTAATTAAAACCATCAAATAATCAAAACGTGGTCTATAAAATTTTATGTGAGAATTGTGATGTCAGTTATGTTGGCCAAACAAAAAGGCAACTAAAGACACGAGTACATGAGCACGTTTCCGACATCAATAGAAAAAGTGAAATCTCCTTCTGCCATCTCAAACCATCGTACTGAAAATAACCATAATTTTGATTGGGAGGACGTAAAAATTTCGGATGTTGAACCATCCTATAATAAAAGATTGATTTCGGAAATGGTGCATATAAAGAGACAAA